GTTGACGCACAGCGACTTGTGCCCCGCCGGGTCCAGCTCCTGCACCTCCAGCTGCCCCCCCATCCGCGGCGGGGCGGGGGGGGGCGCCGCCGCGGGGGGCGGCCGCAGCAGCGAAGGGGGGGGGGGGGGGGGGGGGGGGGGAAACAGAGCCTGAATCCCGGCCGAGCGCGCACACACACATCAAAGCATAACGCCTTTGTTTAAAAAAAACCCATAAACATCACCGAATAAGGACAAAATACCTTCATGCGGTCGTATTTGTCGTCCACGTCCTGTATCCAGGAAATGAACTGCCGTGCGTTGAAGCGATCCCTCACAGATTTGTTTTCGTCACCCTGAGGAGAAAAGGGGCCTTTTTTAGCTTAAAAAGCTGCACCAGACATCAGAAATCAGGAAGGCGTTCTTTGCTATCCCTACCTGGCTCTCAGATGGCATGTTGTACACCTCGGAGTCAAGCAGCATGGTGCAGGCACTGAATGGCACCGCCTGATTGGCTATCGTTCTGGCCGCTCTGCAGTGGACCCGCAACACCTCCTGCTCGCACGACACGATGAGTTTCTCCTGGGAACGGCGGGCCCCATAACAGAGGGGGAAAAAAGTGTCAGGAGATACGGGTCTGAGTGCAGATGATGATGCAGATTTAAGCTGCGTTTCTATTAAAGCGAGAGCTTTGATCTGCCATCAAAGAGACCCTCGGAGCGCTCGCTTCGTGTGTTGGCGCGGCCGAACGGGGGAAGCTACCGGGGCCTTCTGAATTCTGGAGAATAAAACATGCAAATGACCACAGAATGCGTCTCTCACCCGCTCTATGCTGTGCTGCAGCCGGAGCTTCCCTCTGACAGCCTCTTGTTGTCGAAAGAGCTCCTTCAGAGGTTCGGACAGCGATGGAGGCGGGGCAATCTGAGGAGGAAAACACACCGTCATGTATATCCAATTTCACCGGTAAGGACTGGCGTTTTTTCTCGGTGGACGTTTCTCGTTCTAAAAGGTTTACTGTAAAGGTGGCAGGACTCACCACGGGGATGTGGAGCTTGCTGAGGGGTTTGCCGTCCAGCAGGTATGAGCCGGTGTAGGTCACATACTCGGCGTAGCACTGGGGGGCCTGCGGGGTGATGTAGCACAGAATCTTCCTCTTCTCCTCAATCTTCTTCCTGATCTGCAGGTACTCGAAATAAGGATTGGACCGGTCACTGTGGTAGGGCTCTATGTCGTCCAGCTTGATGGCGTTGACCACGACGGCTAGAGTCTGCTGAATCATCTCCCTGGTCTGCTGCATGGCCGTGTTGACCAGCTGGACCTGGACCTGCTGCCCGCCGGAGCGTGGGAACTTCCTCTTGCGCGGGTGCTGAGTCTGAGACTCCTCTTCGTCCACGGGCAGCGGGCGGCCCTTGGGCGTCTTGCTGGGCAGCGCGGCTGCGGGCGTCGCGGAGGGGGGGGCCGGCGCCGCCGGGGCCGCGTTGGACGCGGAAGAGGAGATGGTCAGCCCAGAGTCTTTGTCCTTCTTCACGGCTGACAGGGAGGAGACCGCGGTGGGGGTCGGGGTTCTGGTGGGGATCGGATTAATGCTAACCACGGGGCTGGTCATCACCGGCGTGGCCGCGGCGGTCGAGGTTATGATGCTGGAGGCGGGGGGGACGGCGGGGGGGTTGTTCTTGGCGCGATAGCGGGTCATTCTCGGCGGGATGTCCTCCACCTTCTTCTGGACATCTGCGGCGGCGGGCGGGGCGGGTGCGGTGACCGGCGGCAGCTTGGCCGCAGGCTCCTGAGGCTCGGGGGGCTCCGCGGCGGGGGGGAGGGGGACGGGCGCGGCCAGCTGAGGGTGCGGGCTGCACGCCACAGGCTCCGGCGCCGCCTCGGGGACCTCGCCCGGCCTCAGCTCCGGCTTGGCGGCGCACGGCGGCTCCAGGGGCAGCTGCAAAGACTCGGCCAGGGAATGGATCTGGATGTGGTGCTGCTGACCGGCATCTGCTTTCACAGACGAGTACAGAAGGCCGGGGCTGGACTCGTGAGGCCCTCCGTAGGCGAGCTGCCTCTCCAGAACGCCGTGCTGCTGCTGGCCGAGGGACAGGGCGCTGTTGGCGGGCACGCTCTGCGGCTCGGGCTCCAGCTCCGGCTGGAAGGTCCTGTGTGGCGACGGAACAACAAAGTCCTGTCCGGCCGACTCCACCTGGCTGAGGTCTACGGTGGGGCAGGGGGTCTTGGACAGGCTGGGCAGGTCCACCTCCATTATGTCCGGCTCCTCCCTGTCGGTGATGATGTGTCTGATGTGGGGCGGCGCCATCTTGCTGTGGTCGGCCATTTCGGGCTCTCGGGGCTCAGCCTCCTCCGACTTGTCGGGCAGCGGCAGGTCGGGCAGAGAGAAGGGCCCCAAGTCGTCCAGTTCGTCCGCGTCGGCCGGGAAGGGGTCGGCCCAGGGCACCACGGGCTCCGGCCCCGCGGCCGGCGCGATGTGGCAGTCGGGGGACGCGCTGAAGCCGTGCGCGCTGTGCCTGCTGTCCGGTTCCACACAGGGGGGCTCCGCGTCCATCTGGTGCTCGTCCTCCAGGACGGGCTTGCTGCAGTCCTGGAAGAAAGAGTCCAGCCGGTTGGAGGCCGGCGAGGTGTTCAGATAGTTGGGCTCCTGGTCCAGGGCCGTTTCGGGCCTCTCTGGGGAGGGAATGTCGGCCACGGCCTCCTTCTGCTCGTCGAAGTCGACGGCGGTCTCTTTGGGCCACCTGTTCCAGGTGGCGTAGGGCGGGGTGACGGAGGGGTGTCCGGCCAGGGGCTGCAGGTCGCTGTCCGAGTGCGAGTAAGGGCTGGTTATCTTAGAGACGGCCGCCTCGATCTCCCCGCCGGGCGACTTGAGGTCCACGTCGGAGGTCCAGCCCATGTTGTGGTTGAAGCAGTTCTCTGCGGGGTCGGGCGGCGGGTGGGGCGGGGAGAGCGGCTGCACCTCTGCGTCCTGCCGGTCAGGGGACTCGGCCGGCCAGCTCTTCCTCAGAGCGTCCTCCACTCGGGGGGAGAAGGAACAGGGGTCCCCGGCCGGCTCCGGCTGCTCTGCTGCACAGGGGTCTGCGTCGGTCCTCTCTTCCACTTCGTCACCTTCTTCCTCCTCCTCCTCCTCCTCCTCCTCTTCTTCTTCTTCCTCCTCCTCCTCTTCCTCCTCCTCCTCCTCTTCGGGCTCGTGCTCTTCCGTGACGGAGGGCAGGTCTGAGAGCACCAGATTGGGCTCGCTGTGGTGGGGCTCGGAGATGTCGTCGATGTCCAGCGGGGGCAGCGCGGCGGGGGCCGGCGTCGGGGGCGCCGCGATGTCGAAGCAGGGCTCCTGCGGGTCCGGCCGGTGGACCGGCGTGGACGGCTTGGGCAGGAAGCTGCTGTACACGCTCTCGGGGAGGTGCTCGCTGCCCTCGGCCGCGGTGAGGGACGCGGCGGCCGCGTCCGGGGATGGGTGCGCCGGCTCCCGGCGGGGGGACAGCATCCTCATGGGAGAGAAGTAGGGCGGGGACAGGCACTCCAACCGACTCGCCGCCGCCGCCGCCGATTTGTCCTCCAGGGGCTGGGAGGCCGACGGCGGGTCGAACTCGGCGGCCGGATCGCTCTGCTGCCGCAGGAACTTGTCGGCCTCGGCCTTGAACTCGTCCTCCAGGGGCCTGCGGACGTCGGACGACGCTGAGCGGCTGACGAGCGGCAGCTGCAGGTTCTTAGCCGGCGTGGGGCAGGTGCCTTCCTGGAAACTCTGGGAGTTGGAGTACCTGCTGGGGAGTGACAGAGAGACAAAACGTGAGAAAATACGCGAGCAGACGAGCTTGCGACAGCAGCCCTAGTTGGTTTGAATGGCTTACCTTTCAAAGAAGGATGGCGAGCAGGCGTTCATGGACATGGTCATGGCCGAGGAGTTCTGGCAGTCCAGCCCATCCAGCATGATGTCGTGGTAGTCCTCCGGGCTGCAGGACGGAGTGCGCGGGGTCTGCATCACTTCCTCGAAGCTGGGGCAGGAGATGACGGACGTTGGCGTGGGCACACCGGTCGGCCTGTTTTGATCTGGCCTGGGAGAGGCGGGGAGGTTCTCCTTCATCTGGTGGCCAGCCAGCCAGTCCTTTGAGTTCTGACTGTCGGTAGGCTGGAACTTCCTTGCCGGAGACATCATTTGAGCCGGGAGGCCCACGTCCTTCAGCTTCTTCTCTTTCAGGCCGGCCTCCACGCTGTTGGACTTCTTGGACGACAGCTCGCTGCGGCTCTTCCGGACCTCCTCTGTGGACTTGGCCTTGTCTTTGAGCTTGGGGTCTCCCGTCTTGGGTCTTAGCCTCTCCATCTGCTTCATTTTCTCCTTTTGTTTCTTGAGGCGCGCTCCGATCTCCTGATCTCTCAGACTCAACATCTGACCGAAACTTGTCATTTGATTTTCGTCATCCACCAGCAGTTTTTCCCGTGGACGGTTATCTTTTCGCACCACGTCTTTGGACTGAGGGAGCTTTTCGTTTTCGTCCTTGGCCTTTGACTTAGGGTGATCCAGGCGGTTGTCTTTGTCCAGCAGGTCCCGGCTTCTGTCTTTTTTCACATCAAATTTCGGGCTTTGTTCTTTCGACCGGTCTTTCAGAACGGTGACCTGAGGGCTGTCTTTCAACCCGGACTTCACCTCTTCTTTAGAGTGCTTGAATGCCCCAAAGCCGTCCATGTATTTGCTTTTCTCCTCCTTCAGTTTTTCCTTATGTTTCTCCTTTTTCTTTTTGTCCTTCGTCCTGTCGCTGATGATGCCGGTCGCTTTCTCTTTGTCCTTTTTGGACATCTCTTTTTCAAATTCTAACGTCTTGTCGAAGTCGTCCTCGCCGTCGCCCTTCCCTCCGAAGGGGAACGTGTACGGGTCCGCTTCTAAGGGCATGGGCTCCTTCTCAAACGGCAGGCTCTCCCTGCGGCTGTAGGACTCTCGGATCTCCCCCGTTTTGTCCCGCTTCTCTCCCTTGTCTTTCTTGACTTTTTCCTTCTCCTTGTCATGGCTCTTTTTGGATGAGGAGGAGGACGAGTGCCGGTGCCTCTCTTTTTCTCTGAACTTGTCCTGCGGGGTGGTTATGGACAGGGAGTCCCTCCTGCCCTCGGATATATCGGTCAGACTGATGGGCTCGTAGTAACTCAGCACCGGCTCGTGACCTCTGTCGGTGAAACTGTCCGAGGATATTTCGCTGTTCTTGTCGTTGGAGTCATCCTTGTAGTCGTTCATAGCTTCCTCTTCTAGTTTTTCTAAGAGGGACTTCTCATTCTCACCGCTGCCTTTAGAGGGCTTCCTCTCCTTGGAGTGGTCCTGCTTTTCTTTATATTTGCTCTTGGTCTTCTCCTCACTTGTGTCCCTTTTGTCCATCAGCTTCTGCTTGTTCTTCTTTTCTTGGTTCGACTCCACCGATATCCTATCTTTCCGTTCCTTATGTTTTGTGTCTACAGAGTCCTTCTTGTCCTTGTTGTGTTTCTCCAGGGAGCCCTTCCTCTCTTTACCCGTGTCAAATAAGGCCTTGTCTTTCTTCTTCTCTTTGTGCTCCTTGGCCTTTTCCGTGTTGTGTTTAGTCTCTGCAGAGGACTTTCTGATTTTTTCGGAGGGAAAATGATCCAGTTCATCCTGGTCGGGCGTCGAATCTTTCCTGATGGAGTCCGTGCCGAGTCCCACCACTCTGCTGTAGCCATCCCCTTCATCATCACTTTCATCAGTGAATATATCGTCGATCTCGTAAAAAGGTTTCTCCCGGATTTTCTCACTTTTTCTCTCCTCCTTCTTTACTTCCAAGAAATCCCGCTCCCTATCTGCATGTTTGTCTAGAGAGGCCTTATCTTTTTTGTCTTTCGACTGGTCACAAGACATTTTTCGATCTTTGTCTTTGCCATGAGAGTCTTTGTGTTTGTCTTTGGCTCCCTCCTTTTTGTCTTTGGTGCCCCGATCTGCGTCTTTTGCCTTGACAGTTTTTTCGGTGGAACTTCGCTCACTCTTGTCTTTCTCCTGATCAGCTCCTCTGTCTTTTGTTTTCTCTTTGTGCTTGTCGGCTTTCGTCTTTTCTCGCTTCTCTGTGCCCTCGCTCTTCTTTTCTTTCTCCTTCCCAGAGTGGTTTCTTTCTCTGATATCACAAGATTTGCCGAGAGCGTCAGTGTCCTTAAAGAAAGCGTCGTTGCCGTATTCATCTGCTATAGATTCCTGCTTGATTTTCAAGTCTTTTCTGTCCTTTATAAACTCATAGGAGTCTTTACGATCTCTGCTGTTGTCCAGGGAGTCTTTTTTGTCTTTGACTATGTCTGTGGTCTCTTTCCGCTTCTTTTCTTTGTCGACTGAGTGGCTGGAGTTTAGTCGTTGTTTATCGGACCAGTCTTTTTTCTTTTCATTTGTCTTTTCGGATGAGTCTTTGTCCTTCTTCTTCGAGGTGGCTTCTTTCTCAGATCTTCTGTCGCCGTGGTCGGATTTCTTTTCCTTGACTTTGTTTTCTTTCCTCCTCGTCTCCTCCTTAACAGTCTCGACGATGAGCTTAACCGTGTTGTTGGATTTGTATTCCTTGATTTCTTTGACCTCTTTGAGAGAGGTGTCCCAGCTGTCGTCTCCGTAGAGGGAGGAATCCGAGGACATCTCGGAGCCCCAGTTGTCATGGTGGTCATCCGATGCGCTGAGCTTTGTGTCCTCCAGGCTGAGGAACCTGTTGTTGATGTCATAGCCGTCATTCTCCGACTCCTCCTTCAGAGTTTTGTCTTTTTTACATTTCTCCTTCTCCTCTTTGATGTTTTTCTCCTTGTCCACCTTAAGGTGTTTCTCCTCTTTCTGCTCATTTTTCCTTTCAGCCTTTGAGGAGGACTTCTCCTTGGACTTTTTCTTTTTCTCCTCTTTGTGAGCCTTCTGTTTCTCCTCCTTGGGTTTCTCCTTCTCTTTGAAATTCCTCTCCTTGTCAGATTTTACAGGCTTCTCCCTCTCCTCCTTATTTGTCTTGTCCTTTGTGAAGTCCTTTGGCTTCTTGTTTTTCTCTTCTTTTGCTGTTCTTTGCAAATCTTTTGAAGATGACCAATCTTTATCCTCCGACTTGGTTTTCATGAGCCTCTCCTCCTTTTTTGAATGCTCCTTCTCGTGTTTGGATAACTTCACTTTGCCCTCAGGTGCTGATTCGGACTCAACGATTAAAGACTTCTGCCTGGAATCGTCGAAGTCAAATGAGAAGCTCTTGACAAATTTTTCGTTCATATCTTGATTCAGCACTAGACTTGGAGCTTTGTCCTTCTCCTTATTTTTATGCTTGTGCTTTGCTTTATGCTTTTTCAGGACTTTGCCGTCGACGTCGGTTTTGGAGGCGGCGCTCTCTGTGATGGAGTTTTTGTAGAGCTCCGAGTTCTTCTTGTCCACAGTGTTGCTGTGTATGTTGTTGTTTTTCTTTTTGTTCTCCTGCGCTTTCCTCTTCACCTGCTTTACGGACTCCACGCTGGAATCTGCAGAGGAGTAGTCAGACTCGCTGGAAAGTCTTGTTCTGACTGAATCTGAGAGCGAGCTGACATCTGACCACGTAGGAGACGACACAGTTTTCCAGCCATCTGTCCTCCACTGCTTTGGATGCTGTTCCGCTAGCGACGGCGCCTGTTTCTGAGAGTTCAAGTTACCGTGGGAAGAGGAGGAGGACGCGTTAAAGCCTGGGGACTCTTTAAGGTTTAATGTCGAGGAGTCTTTTATACTATTTGAGCCCTTATCATCCTCGCTCTCCATGTCCCCGCAGTCCGAGTCCGACGTGCAGAATTTGTCGTTGACTTTACCGAATCGGACTTCTTTACTGACGTTATTTTTACTCTCCTTCTTTCGCTTCTTTTTCACTTTATTCTTGTCTTTTTGTTGTTTGGAGCTCAGGCTGCCAGAGTCTCTAGTCTTGGTATTAGTTTGCTGGGCTTGTTGCCGTGGCGTGGGCGCCGGTGTGAAACACGTCCCGTCATCCTCGTCTGAACTGTTGCTGTCAGAGATGATCCTCCTGACAGCTTTCTTTGGTGTGAGCGAGTTGCTTTTGGAATATGTTTTAACCTCCATCTTGGGTATGGAGATGAAGCTGTTGGTCTTAGTTATGGGGTCCTTTCTGAAGTCTTTTTTCAAGAGATGTTTGTCGTCTACGGGGGGGACGCGCTCCTCCTCGTCGTCCTCATCAAATTCGTATTCATCCTTGACAGGCGTGATTGCAGACTTAGGAGGGTCTGCGGTCTTCCCTTTTAACTTCAGGCCCTTCTCGAACTCAGAGTCTGTGTTATTGCCATCGACGGAGCTGGACGGCGCAAAAGAGGGCGCATCTTCCTCCTCTGAAGATTCTGCGGAACACAAGCACAAGCGAAATCAGCATTTCAGACATCAGCCACATAAGCGGGGGAGCTCAGGAGATTCATCTGAACAAACCTGATGAACTCTCTTCACTGGAGGTGTAAGTGCCTTTCCCGAGCAACAGATTCAGCATTGTTTGCGAGTTGGCGACCTTCAGTGGCGTTTCGCCCCTCCTGTTGCTTTGACGTGGGTCCCCTCCATACCGTAAAAGCAGCTTTACCACCTGGAATGAAACAACATTGTGAGATACCACCCAAAATAACACAGATGTTTTGCAAAACAGACTGTTCTTTTAGGCTTTACTGTTGATTTCCATAGTGAAACTTTTTTAGAAGCCCCCATTTCACTGTCCCCAGGCGTAACGGTGGCTTTGGAGGACGGATGACATCATCTGCTCACGCTTTGTGTAACAACCACATCAGGCAATGCTAAACCCTGGTACAGCAACCCCCTGCTCACTCGATATTACTTCAGACGTCCAAAGTCCACCACTAAGGATTATTTTGGATCAGAGTCAATCCAAAGATTTTTTTTAACAATGATTCTTCGTCAGTGGTAGTGAAGCCCCCAAAGATATGATATCTGTGGCATGCTATTAACATAGGAGATACAGATTACTTTAGTGTTTGTGGGAAGAGAACAAAATATCTTAAAATACATATAAAGTCCTTAAAAAATTCCCATTTGATATCTGGCACAAGTTATGTAATTGAGCTTTTCTGTTTCAGAAGCTGGATATCTTTTGATATCCTTTTTACCTTGAAATGTCCATTGTTGGAAGCATCGTGGAGAGGGGTGTCATCATCCAGACCCTTGGTGTTGACCTCTGCCCCGGCTGCCAGCAGCTGCTTGGCCACATCGTAATAGCCCCTGTTGCATGCCTCATGCAGTGCAGTCCAGCCTGGAAGCAAAAAGTAGCCGGGTTAAAAGAGCACGCAAGGAAACAGATTAAACTACGACGCAGCACGAACCATCGACCGCTCACCTGCAAAGTCTTTTACATTCACATCAGCTCCTTCGCTGATGAGCTCCTTGATGCGGCGTACCTCTCCTCGGATCGCTGCTCTGTGCAGCCGAGTCTCTCCTCGCTCATTCCGTTTATTCACTTTGTCTTTGGTTTTTGATGCAGAGTTTGGCGTTCCCTTCTGACCCAGACTGGAGTGTGACTGATGCTTTGGTGTTGTGTCTGTAAGTAGAAGGTGGATGTTTCGCTTTAACTCAACGCTTTCTTGCCATCATTGGGCCTTTTGTTAACTTCTGCTGATCTGAAGGAGGGAACGTGTGCTCCAACTGCCCTCAGCCAGAAGGGGGCGATCCCACTCCAACAATCAGTAGCACAGTCAGCAGGCCTTCTTTATTTGAGCCTATTTCATCACATTTGCAATATTAAACTCAAGCTTTTATCACATTTACATTATTGAGTTTGTTAAGCTCTTGTCCCAAATCATATTTGAGACACACTCACTTAATCTGTGTCCATGCCTCCAGGCACTCAAGAAAGGAATTAACATATAAATAAAAGTGTCTTTGCAATGAGCCTCACTAATTTCATTCCAGCTAAAATGTTAGATCAGAAATAAATAAATTTAAAAAGTACGTTTGAAACAATATGTAGACATCTTATACATTTCTGGAAAGTGTCTGCCAAAAAATGGGAGCCAACAGAAGAAATTGTTGACAAATAATTATCCCCAAAGCAAAAAATTATTTTTGATAAATAAATGAGGACAGCCCTTATTGTGAACGTAGCTGTCTGCTGGTTTTTGGCCTAAAATACTGAGATTGCACGATCAGCTATGGAGTAACGCAATAGCAATAAGACTTACTTTCATTTCTGTAAATGCTGCATTTGAGAAAAACACACAAGCTGCTTCTTAGCTGTCACTGTCTGACAAAATAAAAGAGCGCCTATCACTGACAGCATACGTTTAAATCGCTGCTGAAATTAGAATAAATGTTGAAAAGCTGGAACTAAATGCCCAGAAATGATTCTTCTAATGGGCAGGCTGCAGCAGAGATGTGGCAAAAACCAACAGGCGACATGCTTGCGACCTAGAAAATAAACAAAAACAAACCTCCCTATGACTCATCTCCCATCTGCCTCACTTTTAGCCCACCTATACAGCTCTCCCACGCACGCAGCTTAAGTAGAAGTCACCCTCCGATCCTGTCCCCTTTTCCATGTCCGCCACCAGTCCACAGAAGACGTGGTCCCCATGATAAGCACGCACCTGGACTGTTGACGGACTCCTCGGCTGTCATTTGCATGAGCAAGGCCACCTGCTGCCGCTCAGAGAGGGGGTACCCGGCCCGGATCCCCGGCATCCCCATTCCAAACGGCAGGCCCGCCTTCCGGGTGTTAGTGGGCTCCTTCTTAATGCGCTTCCTCTCTGGACCTGGTTTCTCTGCAACACCCATGAGAGCAAATTAATTTCACCAGCCTGCACGGACACACACCATATGAAACTGAACAAAGACACACATGTTAATTCACAGCTATTTCTGAGGCATTTAGTCATCGAATAACATTTCATAGCAATGGAAAGCATCTGGGTCAGTGTATCTAAACGAGATGTAAAAGCAAAAGCGACCAGCGTCTGACAGAATGAGTGTTTTTAGGACAGAAAAACAAAACATGGATCTATCCTTTTTCTTAACCCACTTATTCAAGTAAGGCTGGTGGGGGCTAGAGTCTATCCCAGCTCTTATTGATTGGGAGGAGGGGTACACCCTAGAAAGGTGGCCAGTCCTTTAAAGGGCTACACAGACGTATGAGACACACACAACCACTCACACACTCACAAGAATTGTTTTCTTTATCAAATAAAAACAAATCATGTCAATCCAATTCAAATAGTATAGATCCAAATATTTCAGTTGGACTAGCACAACCAGATCATGCAGTGGGAAGTCAAATTTATCCTGAATGTTGCCCCTTGTTGGGGCAAAGCTGGCAGACAGCAGAAGAAGGAGCTGTTTATAATAGAACAACCATAGGTGGAAAGCCTCCCTCTTATTTGTAAATATCCAAAAAGATGTCCAAGTCCCAGTTCAATGTGCTAGGACGTTTGTCAACGGCTTGGTTAAACAGAAAGAACCCAACAATTACAAACTGAGAGGCAGACTGTTGCCACAGTTAAGATGCTTATGTACAGGGACACGGTGAGAAGTCTACATAGCTCCCTAACCTGTAAGCACAGCTCAATATTGATGTATAAGTTTGTCAGAAATTCCATATGGTTACTCGCTTGTAAATTCAGTTCAAATCAGTCTGGTCCGACCACATAAAAGCAAGGCCTGACACAGACATTAGCTTTATTCACCTCTTCAAAAATGGCAATGGCAAAACCGACCCTTAGAAAGTAGTAAAAAAAACTAGACAGATTTTGATAACTCAGGTCTATGTGATGCTATAGTCCACTCCGTTTCAACCGAAACAAATGATGTGCCCAAGTTCCAGATTTTCCTGTTCCTGGTCTTATCAACGAGACTAATCTCGCTCTCACAAACAAACCAACAGAAGCAAACAGAAAAACATCAGACTTGCTCGCGAATGCTGAGCGCAGCTTATTGTGTGAGAGGTTTGTAGGTAGCAGTGGGTGACTTTTGTGTCATTACCCAGCTGCCCCTGAGGGAGGGAGGGGCTAGGAGGCAGTGTTTATGTCCCTCTCTCAGCCAATCAGCCAGAATCGTGAAGAGAGAGGAATGAGGGTATGACTTGGCAGAATTGGAGTTATTACAAAATAGCTGGTGTGTATTTCACTTCCAACGCGGCCTTGCCAAGGTCACCACTGCCTGCCAGGATTACTGTAGCCACGGTGCTACTGGACAAAAGCAGCTGCTCCACAAAGACACACCCAGCAATTATTTTCAGCAGCAAAACACCATCTGATGACCCATGCAGCGGGGAACGCTACACATGACTTTAAAACTTCAGCGTGAGAGGGGGGGGAACGGCTCCTTGCAGCCAGCAGCGCATTCCTAAAATAAAAAAGAGACGTGTAAAAAAGCACACTGAGGAGTGTGTGAACAGAGGCAGCGTTCAGGCAGCGCGTGTGTGTCTGAGCGGGAGTTGTGTGGCTCCTCTCGCTCCAGCCCTGGCAGTAAATAAGGCAGAGGGAAGCACTGGACCCCAGGCTTCCGGTGTCTACTGGAGGCTTTTTAGGAAAAATATTTTTCCAGTCGCCAGCACGGAGCTGATGAACTTTCACTAAACATCTGCGAACGCTTACTGCTAATGTAAGCCGTCTTTGATACGCTCTCACGTTCTCCAGAGCATTTGCCATTTAGAGACATTCCTCCTGTTAAGACAGCGGGACCCACAGAAGTGGTCCAAACATGTTTTTTTTCCAGCGGCAGAGGAGAGAAAGTGCTAAGTTAGCTTTTCCATGCTATGTTTACAAGACTGGGAAGCAGGAAGGCAGTCATTAGCCCCGTGCAGCCGTGTAGAAGAATGCTGCTCCACAACCTACAAGTCGAGGCCTCTAATGCGAGATTCATCGGCAGTGGCAGAAACCTGGCCTGCTTATCGCAGCTCTGATCAGACTCCAGGCAGTACAAATCTGAAAGGATATAGTGCCGTTTGAAACTATTTAATCATTATTACTATCTACAATGACTACAGCAGGTACGGTATAATTAGCATGTCAAATCAGCGGCTCAAAACACACAGCAGAAGTAGAATAAATAATAACCCAGCTACAACTGCTTTGTATGACTTATTTGACAGCATACTGTATAACGATGAGACCAAAGACAGCTTGTTGAGCTGGAGTTAAAAATCACTCCAACAACTGATCGCTATCAAGCTAAAACAAGCTAAAAATCACATGTGAATTGAGGAATTACACAGCACAATATGCATGTTGTGTCTTTCCATGTCTGCTGGATATCTATTTAGGGAGCACTGCTTTTAAGAGTCTCAGTACAATTATATTAGTCGGCTTCAACAAGCCGTTGAAACCCGACTCTCTTATTGCTACTTGAAACTTGACGAGCAGGGTGGGAGAAAAATAGAATAGATAAGGAAAGGAAGCTGGCTAGCCGTTGCCACCCCGTGAACAAAGTCTTTCTGAGCCAGGGAGAAGGAAACGCCAAAAATAAATGCCAAGGTGTATGGGAGCTGGACGTTCACATGGCGGGCAGACAATACTACAGTGTGAGCTCACGCCAAAACAAAGACAACGTCGGCTTCAGTTTGTCAACAGGCGCCGCGACGGGAAAAACCACTCCAGCCGGCCTGACCAGGTACGTGTGACCCCAGCGTTAAAAAAACTGAAACATATTCTGTTTGGGGAGGCATCGGAGTTACGTAAACAGGAAGTTAAGAGAGAAGAGGCAGGAAGTGGCCAACAGGATGCTTTCTCAATGCTTCGTACGGAGAGAGAGAGAGTCAAGCCCACGGCACCAGCAGTGACACGTAAGGTGTTCTTTGTTGTCTGCCAAGCTGCTACATTTTGATCACATTCAGGCAGCCTCTGAGTTGTTACCTCTCAGGGGGGGTGGGGGGTGGACTGAGGGTATGTGCAAACCACTGTCTTTCCTCTGCAGCCCACCGCAACATTACAGCAAAAGTACCAGGACTCACAGAGAGGACTGGCAACTAAAGTAAAAACAAAGAAGGAACCGAGCTGTTGTTGCTTCACTCTTTCAACATTCAAATTACTTGACAACCAAACAGAATAGTTACACACCTAAGCTGGATATAGAGCGGGAGGATTTACCCAACAAGGTGCAACTATTTAAGTTAAGTTTGCCAAAAATCTAGCATAATGTAACCTCAAAGAATCGACCTTTTCATTATTTCAACACAGCTACCTAAAGGATCAGCTATAGCACCAACACAACCAAGAGCAACTCACTGCTCAGATCCTTTTCTACAGCTGTCGTTTGCATGCGTTTTACAATCGGAGGCTTTCTGGAAATAATAAGGAGGATGTGCAGGGACTGTGACATGCAATATATAAGCGTGGCATTGTGAAGCACTAAAGGTGAGAGAAACCTGAAGCATCGTGCTCAGGGGGCTGCATGAGGGAAAGAAAAGAGGAATACATGTACCTATTTTTCTTGTCTTTGTAAGAATTTAGCTTTTGTTTAATTGGTAAATAATGTTTTCAGAATGATAATCCGACCAGACTGATCGACCGTCAATCCCTGAATTCTGTAGCTGTGGATAGTCACGATGAAAAGGAAAAATGGGGAGAAAAGGTAAAGGAGGCTCACTTAAGGCAGAAAAATTGGTACTGAAAGGCCTGAACGGGTTAAAGATTGTAGAGAAAAATGCCAATTTCAGTTATGGGGTTTTATTAACACCAGCTGAATGGATTTCAAAAGACTTTTATAAAGGAAACGCCAATCTATTTCCACGTATTTCTAGCCCTTTACTCGGTCACCTTGAGCCTCTTTACATACATAAACTGAAAGTATTTGCATGCTGACAAGCGACCGAGATGACGGCTGTGCATACAAACAATGAATCTGTCACTATGGTAATCCACAGAGAAACACATTTCTACATGCAGATCACAATCCAAACACATCAGAGCGTTTTACTCTGTGGCGTCGAGCCCAATTTCAGGATGTACATGTTGGTTTACGTGCATGCTGCCTCGTACCTGTTTTTTTTAAAAGGGTGCCCCGCTTTTTTCTATGCTTCAGCCTAACTGAGGAACAGTTAGACTAACAGAGCCATGTCACTGTGTATTCTGAAATAAATATGCCTGAGAGCATCATTCCCATCGACTTCCCATTCCAGCCGCGTGCCTTCCAATTACAATAGAAAGGTGCAAAAGAGGTGCAACAGTGTTGCCATGAATCTGCAGTGAAGAATAGTTTTTTTCTCTTTTAAACAGTTTATCAATTAGAGCAGATATTTCACTGATTTACAAGTACAGAAAATGCTTCCCTCCTAAAGTGTCGGATCGTTTTTAAAAACCAACTCAACTTCCAGTGCTCTCGCTACTCAAACATATGGGGATCTCTTCCATTAGCACTGACTCATCCCTACCCGGCTCTACTCGCCACGCCGTAACTCGATTTAGTGGGTTTTCATTACAAATGAGGTCCTGACAGAAAGACGGGCGGGTGACGTCATTTCTATGCAACACAAGAAAGAACACAGACGGATATCGCTGTGAAAATTCACGGACGGAACAGCGGCGTTGGTTCACGTATTCAGCATTTACAGTGTCGATGATCACAGAAATAATTAAATCTATTGTTGGGTGGTGCTGCGTTTATAAAATCTTCACAAGAAACCGTCACTTTTCCAGTCATGCGACTCCCCGTCCAATCAGTGGTAGACAGTCTGGAGTTTCTTGGAACCCCGATTAAGTATGTGTTAAAACTGTCTTTCAGGAGGCATCAGCCTCTAATGGAAATGGGTGGGTGGGACAAGTAAAAAAAAAAAAGGGTGGGGGGGGCTGTTTTGTAGGACCCACAGGAAAACCCCAAATAGGTTTCTGAATGCCAGCACTTTACAAGTGCCTATGTTTTCCTATGTCTGGCAGCTTCAATTCAGGCAGATGCCACGTTTGACAATTTACAGCTTAATGAAGACATTTTCCTCTTGTCGAACCCACCAACAACTGACGCGAGACAGCCTGCCAATTAAACACTCTCACATACCACTCACGAGCCAAATTAGTCTGCAGTAATCACTGATTATCATGGTCTCGGAATCAAAACAACCCTGATGAGCACACATGGTAGGGTCACAATGAAGATGCAGGATTTGGGGGTGACGCAAGTGGCCGTACTTCATCCAGTAATATCAGAAATAAAGCTACTTTGAGAAACTATGATCCAGTACAGCAGGCCTTCCATTCCTTTAATGTACATAGAGAACTTACCACAGGGAGGCTGTAATGGTTATTGGACAGGCTCTGAAGCATTCAGCTCAAAGATAAACACGTTGATACTATTAGCAATGGATTAATTTCCTTTCTTTGTTTCTTCACTTATGGTCACCAGAGTAAAAAAAAAACTGTCAAAGTGCCGATGACTGACGGGAAGTATCGTTAATCTCCCCTGACCCAAACCCAACAGAGTATAGACACTGATCTAACAAGGAGCACAAAGCCAGATGATAAAGATTGAAGAGTAAAGCCACTAATAAGAGCATACACATGGCACATGTGGTGTGAATCCACATATCTGCTCATGATTAAACTATGAAGCAAGCAGCTCTGTGATGCAACACCTCCTGACAAACAAGTTTCAAAGATCTCAGGTAATTGCAGCTTCATACAAAAAGCGAGTTAAGAAGAAACAAGAAAGATAGCGTTAAACAGAGACTTTTGCTGCACAGACATGGTGGTAAACTGGGGCTGAAAGTTAACATAGCCCAGAAGCATCACACCATTAGCACACTAATAGCTTTTGGTCCTGATCTGAGAGTTGACCTCCGCTTGGATATGAGGTAAATAACATGAAAACTGGCCCGAGCTACTTTATAATTCTACTTGATCTGTTCTAAACTAAACAGCAAATACCTTTGCAGCATAAATACAGGCGTACAGAAAACAACATGCGCAAAAGCAGCAGGAATTCAAGAGCTCCAATCAAAGAAGAGCTGAGGATACACTTCTCAATCAAATCGGTACACAGTACTTTCATTCAAACCCACATGCTTACGAAATACATGTCCAATTTATCTAAACATAACCCCAAGCCATAACAATCATATGCTGCAATGTAATTTGTTTTCCCTTCTCTGCCCGAAGTGGAGAGCTTTTTTCTAAGTATAATAGCTGAGCAGGAAGCCGTGTAGCAGCCCTGCCAGCACTGCTGATGAATGCTGTTAGCAAACCCCTTATTTTGACCACTGTCAACAAACAGAATCCTGCTCAGTCTTATGAAAGAAAACACAAAGCCAAAGTCTTACCAAACAGACCCTGATCGGGTTTGTGTATGTTGCCGTTTCCCCCCCAAAAATGGAACCTTTTGGGCACAGATCCAGACTCACTAGTTCAGCCAGACATGGCCAGCGAGAAGGTACAGCTAAGGGGGGCTTTCACTTTGCAAACCCCAACCCCTTCAACAGAGCACAACTATTTCTCCTCAGCCTCAGAAGATGTGATGCAACAACCACCTGTTCCTGCTTGATTACCACTACAAAGTCATCACTCAAGTGGAGATCCCATGCTCGGATATATTCCAATGTCTTCTTACCTGAGTCAGAATCTTTCTGGTCTCCATTTGCTCCAGCAGTGAAAGGCAGCTTCCTTTTAGAGGCCTTTTCTTTCATCTCTTTGACGCCATCACTCCGATCCAATTTAGGAGTCTTATTTGACAACACTTTATCCTGAGAAAGAGGCAAAGGAGAGCATGAGGACCACAGTAGTCGGCGCTTAGAACCCAACAACATAATGAAGGAGCAGCAGTGAAAGGTAAATGTCTAAAACGTGATGGACTACAGACATGAGCCTGTGCCGCTCATCTGTGTTCATTTTGAAGGGGAAAACAGACGTCTCTTCCCCTGTTTACTAACATTTTCTTCCCCCGATTCTTTCAGCTATTATGGGCTTTTAAAAGCAACTTTTTGTCACGGTTCTTCCTGGATTCTGACTCTTGCCACAGTAAAGGAGATTGGCTCGGGGACAGGAGGCCAGGCTGACGCCTGCTCGGTTCTGTGGTCTACAGCTGCTGGAAACAATCACAAGAGCAAGCGTATCTGCTATCAACAGATGTACATTCTTACGCGTTTGTCCGGCGTGTTTCTTTGTTGTAACAGGACCCCTTAGCGAAAGTGACTTATTCAGCCCGACTTGGCTTCATGAGTTAGACCAGATAAATAGGAAGATCAGTTGAATTACATATCACTGTTTCTGTGTAATGCACCAATCATGGATCATGATCTTTTTAGGGTTTTTTTTTTTTTAAACTGACCGACAATCAAGACCAATCCAAAATACATTTGCATGTGAAGCTGACCAATCCCAAGATCCAATTTTCTTGGAGGATTAACGGATTTAAATAAAAAACATGGAGGCTTTCCCACCCCATTCTATTTACTACAGGAGCTGGACTTAATTTCCCTTACTCTCCATGTTGGTGCTACTGAGTTTGACAGACTAACCTGAGCAGAAGAAAACTTTTATGTGACAATGAGTCATCATCAATCGCCAAGTCTCGCTCTAAAACCCCTGTTAAAGGTCGTCCTGCCAGAACAGCGGCGGGCCTTTTGTAATGCCGCCACCTCTCACGTGAGCCTCTGCGTTACTCGAAATAAATGCATCTTTCACTAATACATTTGGCGTCTCTGGAACATTTCAGGTAATGACTGTGTTCATACAATTCATTTGACATAATCTGTGCTAAACCCCTCAGGAAATAAACTCCACAGGAAATAAACATTACAGGATTAAGCTCTTGGCTGAACGGGGGAATTTCCACTCATGATGTATTTAGTCCATTATGGATTTGAGCTGTTTTTGGTCAAATTGCTAAGTCTCAATGTCTGAGGGAAATGGTCACGAAATACACAAACATCTGTGGATTTCTGGTGTGTGGTTAAAATATTTTTTAGTCGACATCAAGTGAAGAGCTGTGAGGTGACAATGGAGAAGGGGAAAGGGGTCAGTTGCAATGTACACACACACGTCTTTGAAACGGTCCCATATCTTTGGCTCTTTTATCACCATCTCTTTCCTCAGGCCAGGTTTTCTATCATATGTAAACCCTTTGAGTCCTCCCCCTGCCCTTCCCCAGTCACAAGACTATGATGTCATGGTACAGTACAAAAAAACAGTGTCAGCTACAGTGAGATGATCTCTCTGACTGTCTGCACTCAGCTCCAAAAAAGGGCTTTCACACCGGAAATGGACAATTACAGCAAAAGCATGATGCAGACATACGAGCTCCTAACGCTTAATTCTCCATAAAGAGGGAAAAACATTACAGCCAGAGCAACAAAAAAAAGAAAAAAAAAGAAAAAAGCATTGCAAGGAAATGGCTACATCATCAAAGTGCATCTGTAAAGTTACACTGAGTTGTTTTGCTGAAGGGAATGTTAACAAAGCTTTCACAAACAGACTTTCCTTAAACCTGCCTTTACATTTCACCCTGTCTGGTTGTCTCCTAGCAATGACTGCTCTTTCGGTTTCGCTCACCCCCCCACCCACCCCTGTGCTTCTTGTTCCCTCCCTCCCTCCCTCCC